ACAAAGGAGTGTGCACAAACCTGTGATTCATTCACACAAACTATAAGTAAAATAAATATTTACAAACACAATCACACAGTACCCCAAATGGGTTACTTCGATGAAGACGGAGGGGAATGGACCACTGTACGATACAGGAGGCGACAAGGTCGTCAGCATAACTGGGACCAGGGAGCATCATCCTGGGGGAAGAACAGAGCACCTCCTGCCACCTTTTATAGGAGACGGGCTCAGTTCCCCTACCATAACCCCTAACCCCCTAACCCCTTTTCAAGTAAAATGATTATTGTTAAACAGTGTCTTGCTCAGCTTCCTGCCCAAGCTCCAACATGTAAACATGACACCTGTTATATCATGTGACTCCCTGCAGAGCAGTGTTTGTTTCCATCTCCCTGTAACATGGGGTAACCTAGGTGGGTGGGGTTAGGGTTAGGGATATTGCAGTCACTTTATTAGATATTTAATCAGATTGTTCTTGTTAACTTCTTTTTGTTTTATTGTTGAGATGATTTGGAAAACAAGAAGAAAAAATACATTGACTGAGAAAAAAAAGTTTACAGTTTTTATTTTATCAGACGAAAGTCAACAGTTTAACAAGAAAGGATCTATCAAGATCAAGTAATCCAGTCTCAGGGATCCAGAAGGACAAATAAACACTGGAAACACACAGAAAAACAGGAGCTAAGGCTTTTTTTATTCCACCTGGTTCCAAACTCCCACGGTTCTTCACACAGATCCTGGGATCTGATTAGTTCAAAGCTTTTGGGTTTGAATCCTTAATAGCTCCAGCAACACCAGTCGAACAGTCAGAGCGTTTCATCCTCCGGGGCCGGCCTGCTAAGGAAACATTCACCTGAGACCAGAGTCTAGGTTGAGAACAGGGCCTAGTTTCCATCGCTACCAGTGGTGGTTCTTGGAAAGGTAGGCGATGAGTGCCACGCCCACACCCACGTAGATACCCGTCCCAATAGTGATTGACAGTACAGCAAGGAAGAGAGCCCGCCTCGAGCTAGAGCTGGCGAGATGGAATTCTCCTTTAGAAACAGACTTATTGGTCTGAGGGGAGGCAAACAGGAAAAATTAAAACGCAAATACTATGATGATGCTGCATTCACATACTGTTAATAAGACACTTCCTGTTATCAGCCTGGGCACTAAAACGGCAGCTAACTGCAAACTTCCTGTCTATATGTGTGTGTGTTTGTGTGTGAGACTCACCTTGAGTTATGTTTGACCAGGACATTTGACCCACATATAAAACAAGTTTCTAGGACAGCTTTCTTCCATCTGCTGAATATTAGGAACATTAGAACATCCTGTCTCAGAAGGATCCAGAGAAACTCGTCCATTTGTTCCCTCTAGACTAGATTAATGTAACTCTTTATTATCAGGATGTCCCAGGAAGTCTGTGAAAACCTCCAGTTGGTACAAAATGCTGCAGCACGAGTGCTGACAGGAACTAGAAGGAGAGATCATATTACTCCTGTCTGAGCTTCTCTACATCGGATCCATTTGTGAAATCCAGAATAGAATTCAAGCTCTTGCTCCTCCAATATAAAGCCTTTAACAATCAAGCCCCTTCATATGTCAAAGAGCTCATAACACTGGATTATCCAAATAGATCACTGTGGCAGTTGACCATACCATGGGGCTCTCACCACAGCAGCCAGAGATGAACCATTCAGGTTTTAACATTTTTATTAAACTCTTTAAACAAAACTCGTGTCCAGCTGTTTCAGCTGGATAACTAGCTTTTCAGCTAAATGACTCTGTGTCTGTCCAGTGTTCTGAGTCCTGCGTGTGTGTTTTTTTCCATGACACAGCTCCGCCGCTGCCTTTTAAACCTGAGGATCAATAAGCTAACAGCTCTCACCTGCGCTGATTGATCCTCTGTGGTGCGGGTGAAGGGGCTCTCCCAGCCCCCTCACCTCCACAATCATTTCACTCCCAAAACACAGGTTCTCCTGTGGTTCTAGAGTCTGTAAGAATAGAACAGGATGTAGAACCTTCAGCTACCAGGCTCCTCTCCTGTGGAACCAGCTCCCACTCTGGGTTCCAGAGTCTGTAAGAGTAGAACAGGAGGTAGAACCTTCAGCTACCAGGCTCCTCTCCTGTGGAACCAGCTCCCACTCTGGGTTCTAGAGTCAGACAACATCTCTACCATCTTAACCTACAAACAGCTAATGGTCCAAATGTTAAAAAAATACTATTTTTGTTCATAGCTTTGTTGCTAGACAACTGCTGGTGATGCAATAGAAGAAACAGACATTTCAGGTCAGCAGACATGGTGTACATGGCCGTTGGAGGATGCAGCCGACCTCAGCGGGCCTCCGTTGAATTACGACACTGTAGCTGTAACTGATGACCATGTTTTCCTGTTGATGGTGAACTGTTCCTCTCCTACTCCTCCTCATTCTGTTTTCAGTGGATTCTTCAGTGTGGGAAACATTGCCATAGGCAACCAGCCCAGGATTTTTTTTTAGCATTAGATGTGGAGTTTCCATGGAAACCACATCTGCAACACATGCATGAGATTCTGATCTCCACACAAACCAACGCGTTCATTCTTACCACACAACTACAAACAACAATAAAGTTTGACAGGAACATTGAAGTTTACTAATAATTAGACAGCTGACTGTGGGAACTGTTGGTTTCTCTATATTAATAACATTTTAAGGTCTTGATCTTCTATGTAAAGTGCCATGAGATAATGTATGTTATGATTTGGTGCTATACAAATAAAATTTAATTGAATTAATTTATTTGTCATTATTGAAATCTATCCATCATTTTCAATTGTTTTTCAATCGTCCTCCACCTGACTGCAGATCACTTATATAAGGTGTGAGAGTGTGTGTGTGTCTGTGTGTGTGCGTTTGTGTGTGTGTGTGTGTGTGTGTGTGTGTGTGTGTGTGTGTTTGTGTGTGCATGTGTGAGTGTTTGTGTGTGTGTGTGTGTGTGTGTGTGGGAGTGAGTGTGTCTTAACCTCGTGCGACAGGTAGAACGCTGCGATGCCCAGTGGCCAGAAGCAGCAGAGCATAGAGAAGACGCTGAGACTAAAGTGATCTCTGGGAGGCATTAACAGGAAGGTGTCCTCACTCTCTGATTCGCTGGAGTAATCACTCTGAAAACACACACACACACACACACACACAGGTCACTCTGGATGAACTGTATTTGAGACAAACATGTATTCTCCTGTCAGTCAGAATGCAGGGTTTTCAGCCTTGAGTATTGTCTGCAGGTTTCTTTGTTTGACCCGAGTTTGTTTATTTAAAAACAGACATTCTGACAGGTTAGATATCAAAACAGATTGTGAGGTCACTGAACATCCTTCATTTTCTCTCGAGGAAGTTTACCTACACAACACCTGAACTGATTCCAATTGGTGACTTTCAGAGTAAAATAACAGTAATAGTTACTAATTTGCGGATAGAGGATTAATCCAGTATCAACCATCACCATGACATCGACTGTAGGTTTGAGAGCTGCTCTTCTGAAGCCTCAGTTTGAAATGTTTTCAGTCACCTTCACCTGCCACCTATCACCTGCCCCCATTGGATGTCACCCTCTGTCAATCACACTCGGTCCCCACCCCCAAATACACCCAGTGCTTTTGGTCTATTTGACTCTAAATGATCATAATTGACTTAATGAACAGCTGTATTGAAGAAAACTTGAAACTAGAGATTGAGACATAAACTCCTGAGGATATTTTTTACTGACGTTATAAGTAGAGAAATTTGTATAGACTTCTATAGAAACTACCAGTGGAGTCGCCCTCTGCTGGTGAGATAGAACATTGCATCACATTACATTTCATTTAGCTGATACTTTAATCCAAAGCAACTCACAATAAGTGCATCAACCATGAGGGAACAACAAGAATCAAGTTAGAACATTTTGCTTCAAAAAAAGCCAAACTACAAAGTGCTACTTGTATGTGCCATATTAGTGCAATAATATATATATATATATATATATATATTATATTTTTCATTTTAAATTGGTTATTAGACATCATCTTCATCACCAAGGTGTAGTCGGAAGAGATTAGTACTAGATTATTACTCTTTAGTCTCTGTAGTGGAAGATGTGTAGACTTTCTGTCCTGGTGTCAATATGGAGCTCGTTCTACCATTTAGGAGCCAGGACAGCAGACAGTCATGATTTTGTTAATTGGTTTGCTCGCAGTGAAGGAACAGCTGATTGGCAGATGTAGAGTGGAGTGGAAGGGCTGGGGTGTAAGGTTTGACCATTTCCTGGATATAGACTGGACCCGATCCGTTCACAACACAGTACACAAGTACTAGTGTTAATGTTAGTAGTTAAATTAAAGACCATTTGAGCTGCTGCATTCTGGATGAGTTGCAGCAGTCGGATAACACTAGCAGGTAGACCAGCCAGGAGGGAGGGGCAGTAGTCTAGATGTGAGATGACCAGAACCTGGACCAGAACCTTTGCCGCCTTCTGAGAGAGAAAAGGGGACATAATCTCCTGATGTTTAGCAGCATGTATCTACAAGAGCGGGTTGTTGCAGTAATGATGACAGTAAGGAGAACAACTTTCAGGTTTCTGTTCTCTGAGTCTATGTCAGTTTTCAGTGTGTGGAATCTGACTGTTATGATAAAATTCATTTATCACCAAACCTGATCATTTGACATGAACTTATACAAAAAGAAAAATATCATTCATCAATAGACCAGAAAGTAAAACACAAAGTGACCTGAGAAAAATTGTGTGATTTCAATTAAAATCATAAATCTTAATCATCAATCTTAATGAAAGTTTTTACCTCCAGCTCCTGGAACTCATCGTCATCTATATCGTACGACGTGTGAATCTTGGTGTTATCTCCAGGAAAATCAAAAAACCTTCCCTCAGTGAACAGCGTCTCCTCCTTTGTGGTGGCGGCGGAGGACGAGGAGGCATCAGGAACAAGCACCTCAATGAAGGTGGTCTCGCAGCAGTCACCTCCCCCTGCCTCCTCCCATGCCTGCAGGATACCATCTAGACAGGGGAGGAAGGCTGGGGTTGGCCTGAGATTGGGGTCCACCACCACCTGGTGATGGAGGAGGGCACTAGGATTCAGGAGCTGAGGAGGAGCAACGCTATGCTCCTGTTGAGGGGGGGCACTCACCACCACATGACCCTGGTACTGAGGAGCTGAGTACACAGACACCAGATTCTCTCGTGGCTCCGCCCCCAGCCTGTGGGTGTTAATGAGGCCATTTTGTCTGCAGTCACCGCTTCCTCCTCCAGCTGGAGATGACCCCACTGTAGAGGAGGTTTTAGCCTCTTCTCCTCGACTCTGGTCCTCTCCGTCTTCCTCCATTCCCGCCTGCTGGTCACTCCTCCTCTGAGTTGTCTCTCAGTAGTCAGGCATCAGAAGTGACGGGTCAGAGGTCAGGGGTCAGAGGTCAGGCATTGTGGGCTGATCTCTCCTGACAAACAGAAAAACATTTTTATTGAGTCATGTTCAGCAGGATGATTAGTGACATTTACAAATGAAACTAAGTATGACATCACTTCCTGATGATGTCATCCACACGAAAACCATAGAATTCAAATTCTGCAGAACTTCATGTAGAATTTTAATGTTTTTAATTTACCTTCAGTGTCACAGTGTTTCAGTGACAGTTTTGAGTTCATCACTGAGTTTAGTGCAAACAAAAGCTGATCACCATCAGTTCGGCTGCTTTTGCACAGCAACGAATAATCAATAAATCTTGTTAAAATCCTCCATCAGATTCGGCTTTACACACACACACACACACACACACACTAACAAACACTCACGCACACACACACAAACACGCACACGCGGTCAGATCTCATCACCTGAATACCGACAGTGTCTTTGGCTCTGACGTCATCCCGGTTACATGCGTCCTGATCACAAGAGGACTCACGCGCGCACACGAGCACACTCACCTCCCAAGGTGAGACACGAGATCCGTCCATCCGACCCCCCCTCCGCTCTGCAGCCGCCCTGCACTGCGTTCTGAGCGTCGAGTAGAACCGAGAGTCCCAGTAAGAAGGTCCGATGTTCCGAGCCACAGAGAGCCGAGAGAGGAGAGAGGCAGGCGGGCAGGCAGGTGTCCGTGCAGTCGGTGGATGAGGAGGAGGATTCTCCTGCAGAGAACAAGTGATGAAGAAGAAGAAGAGGAGGAGGAGGAGGAGAGAGAGACAGAGCGAGAGAGAGAGGGAGAGACACAGAGAGAGGGATTTTTAAAACCATCAGTTATCTTTGAAGTGATAAATTAGATGGACATTTATATAGTTTATGTGTTCATATAGAAACTATAAATTAATCACATGTCCATAGACCAGCTGTTGGTCTGTGACGGAGCAGAGAACCTCTCTGTGTCCCCTCATCAGCCTGAAACTCTCCAGGTCGCAGTTGCTCTGTAAAAACTCAAATCTATTGAAAGTCCGGATTTGAACATTTTCACAAACAAGTGAACCACATCAACGTCCAGTTCTTCTTCCACTTTTCTTCTCAACTTTTCTAAATTAACTTTGACCTTTTCCAGGACATTTTCCCAGTTTTTCATTTAAAAAGTATTGTTTCCCAGAAAAACTCACAGATACTTAAACCCTCCTTTTTTCCATATTCGTCATCCTGGTAGCCTGAGCTGAGCCCTCAGCCTGTCCCCAGCCAACACTGCCTTGCTCAAATCCCAGTTTGACAAATCCCTTGGCAGAGGAAATACAACCAAAACTATTTACAGTGTTTATTAACGTGTTGATGTCTTTTTGATTGTTAACCATGATGATGACATCATCAGCATATGCTGTAAGTTTACAGGGAATCCTGCAGCCAGGAAAGGAAACACCACTCCGATTAGATCTGAGCTTGTGAGCAGAGAGAGAGGGAGACACAGAGAGAGAAACACAGTCATTTTTATTTATTGTCTACTTTAGTGTTAGGATATGTCTGTCTTTATTTGTTGTGCCTGTGCACTTTACACTTACTTTTGTTAGGAAATGTCCTGTCTTGTCTTCACCGTGGGATAGTTAGGAACGTAATTTCGATTCCTTTGTATGTCTGGTATATGTGAAGAAATTGAAAATAAAGCTGACTTTGACATTGACTTTGAGGGAGAGAGACAGGAGAGAGAGGAGAGAGATGCACAGATAGAGAGAGAGAGACAGGAGAGACAGACACACAGAGAGAGGGAGAGAGAGAGACACAGAGAGAGGGAGGGAGACAGAGAGAGAGACAAAGAGAGAGACACACACACACACATACAGAGAGGGAGAGAAACAGGAGAGTGAGACACAGAGAGAGAGGGAGAGAGAGGAGAACAGCTTTAGATTCTGTTGCTGACAGAAATTAAATATCAGATCATGTTTCAATCAAAGAAAATAAATTATGAATAAAGAAGCTCAGATACATATACAATACATATATAATAATACTATGGCTTCTACTCTTCCTGTTATTTATGATATGGACCTGTCCTGCAGGGGGCAGTCTACTGCCTGCACCGTCACACACAGTAGAAGAAGACGGGTTCGATGCTCTTCCTGTTTCAGGGCGTTAATGCGCATCCAGCAACTCGAAGCTCCGGAGGAAACAAGTCTCTGCGGCCCAGGACACGACACGTCAGGTCCGAGGAGGAAACAGCGGCTCCGAAGGAAAACTCAACCCAGGGAAACAGTCTGGGACTCGGCAGGTAAGACCTCATCTGTCCGGGGCGCTACTTTCAGGCTGGAGCGTGTGTCAGCGCGGCCGCTTCCCGGGCTGACTCGGGCGGACAGCTGGACAGGCCCAGCCCGGTGCTCAAAGCTCACATCCAGGGTCAGTGTCCCGGAGCTCGGCCCAACATGAAGCGAACATCGGCACCGAGACAACAGCACATCGGATTCCGGTTGAACAGCAGCTGATGAAGTTCAGTTCGACTTTAAAACGACATGAACCATATGATTTTATTGTAGACATTGAATCTGCGTCAGGATTCACGTTATAACATCTGACATGTTATAATAATTACATAAAATAAGACATCCAACATTTAATCAAACACAATATCAACTTTAATCTGTTAATAAACCGGATCAGTGACTCAGGCTGAACTCAGGTTAACTTTATACAAACTTGAGTTTGTTCATGCCGAAATCACCAGAAGATTCTTCACCGACCAACAAATACACATTAATCATATGAAGATTGTTTTTACGCCTCCAGACATCTTTTTACATCAACTTTGAATTTGGTTTGATGTTTTTCGTACTGAGTTACTTTATCTACCATTGAGAAGTTAACTAGTGAACGAGTCATTGACGTGGATTACTTAAGTAATTCATTTGTTAACCAGGTAAAGAGGTCTAGGGTTAACCAGTTATCAAGTTAGCCGATCATGTGAAAACTCGGTGCTAAGGCTAGCAGCGTTGCTAGCTTATGATGTGTTGCGTGAGGAGATTTGAATTCTGTGAATTACAAAAACCCACAGCGAACCGAAAGCAGTGGCCGAGTCCCTCACTGCTTCACCGGCTCCAGCAGCCACTGTCAACCCGTGTCTGAGCTCCGGGATTCGGTCTGGACTGAGGGTTCCTCCAGGTATTAGACGGAGCCAAGTCGCGGCTCGTTGTGTTAAAGCGGAACTGAAACGAGTGTGACCGTCAACGTCTCACTGCTTTTCAGTTCAACTGTGCTGACTCACTTCTCATCAGTTGGCTAAGATTGTTGGTTGACTGGTCAACAGTGAAGGGAGACATCACACTGGGGACGGAGAGACGTAAATTAATTTATCTGTTGACCGCTGTTTCTATAGCAACATGGGTCAACGCCTCAACTTGTGAGGAGAGGAGACCTGCACCAAATATCTTCTCCTCTTCTGTCTCCTCCTTCTCTTCTCTATCTCTTCTTCTTTTGTCTCCTCTTCTTCTGTCTCCTCCTCCTCTTCTCTATCTTCTCCTCCTCCTCTTCTCTATCTTCTCCTCTTCCTCTTCTGTCTCCTCTTCCTCTGTCTCCTCTTCCCCCGTCTCCTCCTCCTCTTCTCTATCTCTTCCTCTTCTGTCTCCTCCTCCTATTCTGTCTCCTCCTCTGATCCTCTGTTGTCTCCATAGTAACCATGGTGGGCGAACGCCGCAATGGGAACCTGCTGGTCCAGCTGGGCCCGAAGTTGCAGGCGTATCCCGAGGAGCTGATCCGCCAGCGCCGAACCCATGATAGCCAAACTGAGTACCTGATTCGTTGGTGCCTCGTCACCATCGATGACGGCTCCAGCTCTGCGGGCGGGGCCAGGGAGACAGGTGGGGCGAGTGGTGGCAACTCTGGAGTGGGCGGGTCCAGCAGCTCCACATCAGGTGAATCCAAATCAGAGAACATCCTGATGTGGATGTCGACAGAGGATGTGTATGCCAACTGCCCCACTCTGCTGGGTAAGAGGAAAACAGACCCACAGCGCCCCCTGCAGCTACAGGAGAAGCAGCAGGGCGGTGAGACATCAGATGGAGGCCAGAGGATCGGTGGCGACGACTTCCCAGCCGACGCCACCTTTGATGAGGTGGAGCTGTCGGACATGAAGGAGGATGTGAAGAACCTGGTGCGTCGGGCAAGGAAGCAGATGGCAAAAAAGAGCGATTTCTCCATCAGCATCACACACACCATCCACGTGCTTAGTGCCTACGCCAGCATCGGCTCGCTGGTCGGCGTCTTCAAGGAAACCGGCGCCCTCAACCTACTGATGGAGCTGCTGTGCAACAAGGAGACGCAGACCAGACGCAGTGCCGGGAAGATGCTCCGCGCGCTGGCCTCACATGACGCAGGTGAGCTCAAAATAAAAACTATTTACAAGATCAATGTAACATTAACGTTTATTTCCATGGTGATGAACTGAATCTCTCACACAGTGTCTGTAACGGTAATAACAGTAGTGGATTAGGTTTAGTAATATTCCACAGGGACAAGTTTTGAAATTTTTCTGTGTGGGTGATATCATCAGTGCAGCAGACAGGTGAGGACAGGTGTGATAGCATGTCTTCTCGTGTCCATCCCGCAGGAAGTCGAGCGTACGTCCTCCTGTCTCTTAGTCAGCAGGATGGCATCGAGCAGCACATGGACTTCGACAACCGCTACACGCTACTGGAGCTATTTGCCGAAACCACGTCCTCAGAGGAGCATGGCATCTCCTTCGAGGGGATTCACCTGCCTCAGGTGAGACACTGTTCACTGACCTCTGACCCCAACAGTAGCCCTGCAGGAGGAGTGGAGTTGTTTACTCTTTGTTCATCTTGTTGTATATCAGATTCCAGGAAAGCTACTGTTCTCTCTGGTAAAGCGCTACCTGTGCGTCACATCTCTCATGGACAAACTCAACACGACGGGGACAGATTCTAGCTCTGAAAGACAGGATGCCAGCCCCTCCCCCGCCTCCACCAGCACTGGCCACCATATGGAGCACCTACGGGTCCAGAGGGAGTTTGACTTCACCATGGCAATGGCCAATCTGATCTCAGAGCTGGTCCGAGTGATGGGCTGGGACCGCAACCGCCTGCTCCCCGACGGCTCTGCATACTGCCTCGGAGGAGGAGTCTGCGGGGAAGAGCAGGTAGAGGATCCGTCTCACCCTGTCCTCAGGTCCATCTTCCAACCTAGATTCTGCACCTCCCCCATTGCTCTCCCCATCAACTCTTCCGTCGCAGTGCCTGCCATTACACCGCCGAAGAAGAAGTTGGGAAACGGATTCAAAACACGTTCCGACTTTGCTTGCCGTTCGGCCTACGTGGAGTACGTCCAGGACAACCTGAAGAGCGGCATGATGGTCCGCATGCTTGAGGACTACGAGGAGGTGAGCGCTGGGGACGAAGGAGAGTTTCGCTACAGCAATGACGGCTCGCCACCTGTTCAGGTGAGGAGATGACAAGTTATTGATTATTTACTCATCGGTCATCGTTTTATTATGGTAAAATCCTGCTGGTGGAAAAACTGAAGTGAAAACCAAGGTTCAGAGGGAACAAAACAAAAAGAAATGTTTGAGATCAGTTCTGACGTGTGTGTGTGTGTG